TCTCTCTGAAACCTCAAAACAAAATCTGATGCTGGAGAAAAATCTGCCATGAGACTAAACGGGCTGCACGGCAGCAGCGAACGGCGTGAGGGAGAAACAACTGAAACACAAGAGAGGAAAACCCCAGAACAACTCATTCACATACAGAGCAGAAATAATACTGTTGTTCATCACAGCGGTGTGTGGGTGGGGGGTGGAGCAGATAAACAGGCCCCGACTGTCCAGGACTTTCTCTCTGCTACCTGTTCACCTACTGAGCAGCTGTGTGAGTGTGTGTGTGTGTGCTCTGCATGTTGTGCAATAAACCAGCCTCACTTTGGACTTCTGGGAAAACACGTAAGCGGAGGAAAAACAAAACACCCGAGCTGATTTCGCTGCAGCTGCCCCCCCATGCAAACTACACCTACTGAAGAGCCCAAAAAGGTGCAGGCCCGCAGCTGGTTGGTGCTGCAGGTTGGCAGAGCAGGGGTCAAAGTGTGGCAGGGCCATGGGAGGAGGAGGGGTGTTGAAACATGTGCAGTTTCCTGCACGGAACCAGCAGCTGACGCTCACTCAGCCTGGAGACTTTAGAACAATCTTCTGTTCTTCATCTCAGCTATTATTAGATTCTATAAATTATTTCTGAAGCAGAAATAAATCTGACAGCTGCAGCCCCCCCCCCCCCCCCCCCACACACACACACACACGCCTCACTCCACTCTTGCACCAATGCATGCTCGTGCCCCTGCGCGCGACACGGTTTACCTTGAGCAGCGTGCACACGCTGTGCAAAAACTCGTGCAGAGTTTATATATATATATACATATACATATATGTGTGTGTTAAAAAGAGTTGCAGTGTCCTTGTCTATCTCGTGACTGTGCTCCACATCCCCTATGCGTGTGCGCAGCTATTAGCGTCAGTCTGAGAGTGTGCGCGCAGCATTGTCTTACCAGGAACTGTGCAAAGGGGAAGATCTGAAACAGGAAATAGACTGACCCTCCTAAAGCCTTCGAACTTTAAAATGCACCGCCGTGCTCGCGCTGCAGCGGTGCATGTTGCACACCGTGCAGCTGTGATTGAGTGCATGTGGCTAGTTTTGCACAGATCGGCTTCATGTTCTTACCTCCTCTCGACTGAGACGTTTCCCCTCTGCTTTGATGGGGGGGAGGGGAAGCACAAAAGACTTTGCCTTCTTTCTCGCTCCCTCCCTCCATCGCCCTCGAACTGGAGCTTCAGTGGCTTGCTTTTGCAACAAAGGTGCAAAATACAAGCCTCGATCTTCATGCACTTGGAGCCTTTCTGCGTCCAAAGCGTGCGTGTCCGTGCACGCGGCGCGGCTTCGAATGCACGGCCCCGCAGGCGTCCGGAAATCGGGTAATTTTGCAAAAACACTGCAAAGAATTCTCCGCAGCACTTACATGATGGGCCAAGGCTGGCAGCTGAAAGCTCCTAACTTGGAACAGTGTGAGCCCCTGCGAGAGAACGTTCTTCCTGCTTGGAGCGCGGGGGATTGTGGGAAATGAAGTTGTGGAGGTGTGGCGGCGGGAAGTTCCTCCTGAGGCGTTTCTAGAAAATACACCACAGATCACTGAGTGTGACAGAATAAGAACCAGGACAGAGATAGATGAATACAAATAAAATATTAATAGATTAAAAAGTTTCTCTTCACCTGAAAATATTACAAAAACTCAAATAGCCACTAATCAGTCAGATGAGTTTTAGTTTATGACAGTGGTGTGTCCAGATCAGGGGCAGATCTACAAGGGTGGCATAGGGTGGCAGTTGCCACCCTAAAAGAAAGCCTTACCCCTGCTGCCACCCCAGCTGGCAGCTATAAATTCAAGAAAAATCAAAGTTTTTCAACTCTCAGGCTCATAAAGACCTATTTGTAGTCTGCTTTGGCAGAGAAAAGACTATGAAGCTAGGCTGTACTCAGCATTGAATCAAAACGGGCAAAATCTTTGGACCGTGATGAATTTTGCTGAGCAACATGGAAACTGTTGTAGGAAGGATATAATTTTATTATGTGTTTTATTTTCGTGATGGGCCTTTAAGCTTATTAAATGAGGACCAAAAACAAATGAATATGTAAATACTGGGAAAAGAAAAAGGAAAACGTGTTTCTGAGTGAACAATAGAACCAAAGTACAATATCTCAGTGCAGTGAAATATTGTGTGTGTGTGTGTGTGTGTGTGCGTGTGTGTGTGTGTGTGTGTGTGTGTGTGTGTGTGTGTGTGTGTGTGTGTGTGTGTGTGTGTGCGTGCGTGTGTGTGTGTGTGTGTGTGTGTGTGTGTGTGTGTGTGTGTGTGTGTATTGCCACCCTAGAAAAATGTTTGCCCCTCTTCTGCCACCCATCAATAATTTTGTGGATCCACCCCTGGTCCAGATCTTTTAAACTGGGGTGGCCCAGGTGAGGCACAACTTTGTGCATGGGTTGCACCAATGGTTATGCTTTTGTTGTTTTACCCCCAAGTCTTTTGTGGACAATGAAAAGCCTATTTGAAGGTAAATTAGTGTGGTGACACCTGGGGTGGCCAATCAGATTCTAAGGGTGGCATATGCTACCCCAGGCCACTCCCTGGACACGCCCCTGGTTTATGATGTTTAACTTACTGATTGTTAACCGTGGGGCAGCAGTTGCTCAGCAGGTTGAGCAGGTTGTCCAGTAGTAGGGAGGTTGCAGGTTCGATCCTGGCTCCGGACAGAGTTCCGCTGTTGTGTCCTTGGGCAAGACAAGGCTCCAGAGGGACTGGTGGCACCTGTGCTCAGCAGCCTTGCCCCTGTCAGTGCTCCATCATCACCACCAGTGTGTGAATGGATGAATGATACACTGTAGTGTAAAGCGCTTTGGAGTCCTTACTCTGACAGGCGCTATACAAATGCAGGTCAGTATCATTATAAATGGCCCAAAGGAAACTTTAGCTTGACCTTGTTTTTTCTACATGTCTTGGGTTTCTATTGTTTGTTTAAAATCCAGTCTTTTTAAGGCTGAAGTTGAAAATTTTTTGGAACATCTGAAATTTTAATGTTGTGTTTTTGATTGATAAAGATAAATTCAAACCATTATCATTATTAAGGGACTTGCCGGGCAGGGCCCATTGTTTTTCACTTGAGGAATAATTCTCTTTATTGTTATTCTTCCACCACGTTAACGTGGCTCAAACGGCAAAGTGCATCAAAATGACCCGCTCGCCCATGATACTACTTTTTAAAGCATTTTTATTTACCATGGCAAGGTTATTAGCAAAAAACATCAAAAATATTTCATATTTTACCAGTTGGAGGCAGTGGGGTGTCCAGATCTTTTAAAATGGGGTGGCCCAGGTGAAGCACAACTTTGTGCATGGGTGGCACCAATGGTTATGCTTTTTTTGTTTTACCCCCAAGCCTTTTGTGGACAATGAAAAGCCTATTTGAAGATAAATTAGTGTGGTGGCACCTGGGGTGGCCAATCATATTCCAAGGGTGGCATGTGCTACCCCAGGCCACTCCCTGGACACGCCCCTGGCTGGAGGGTCCCTTTCAAAATGTATTCAGGAAATGATCTCTTTATTGGAGTGTGCACCCCACAAATGTTACATCAATCATGCGTTTGGGGGGATCACCCCAACATCACAGCAAGATTTATTTATTTATTTTTATTGTCTTTGGAAATATGAAGGATAGGATGGAGGTTATTGATCATCTTGGCTCCAGAGGAATAAAGACAAAGACCCAGGTTAGAAATCTTGGTGTCGTAACTGATTCAGACCTGAGCTTCACTGGTCACATTAAGGCTATAACTAGATCAGTGTTCTATCATCTTCATCAATTAGCAAGACTCAGGGGTCTCATGTCCAGACAGGGCCTAGAGAAACTCATTCATGCGTTCATCTACAGCAGGCTGGACAATGCAACGGTCCCCTAACTGGTCTTCCCACAAAGGCTGTGAAGCAACGGCAGCTCATTCAGAATGCTGCTGCTACAGTCTTAACAAGAACCAAGAGAACCGAACACATCACTCCTGTTCTTAAATCTCAACGCTGGTTACTGGTAAACTACATAATCTATTTTAAAGTACTTCCAGTTTATAAATCACTCAATGGCATGGGGCCAGAATACATGTCGGATGTGCTTCCTGTATATACACCCAGCAGGGCTCTGAGATCCTTAAGTAGTCAGCTGGTAGAACCTCGGGTCAGAACCAAACAGGGTGAAGCTGCTTTTAGCTACTATGCTGCTCACAGATGGAATCAGCTTCCTTATGACCTCAAATGTGCCCCTACTCTAGAAACTTTTAAATCTAAATTGAAAACCTTCATGAGTTCATCAGCCTATGAATGACTGTTCTGCACTGTAACTGCTCACCCTTTAACATTGTTTCTTTTCTTTTCATTTTGAAATCAAAATTGGATTTTTGTTTACTTGTTGTCATGTTGATTTTTAATGTTATCGCTATATTTGCTAATTGGAAAGCACACAGAAAAATGTGCAGTTTAAATAAAGCTGCCTTGCCCACTTAAATGTTAACTTTGATCCATAAACTGCAAACAAAAGGACCGAAATGGTGTTTTTGTATCTTTCAGTTGTGTTTTTGGTCGGTTTTAAAACAAATGGAAAAATCTTTAATCCAGACATAAATGTTTAGCTTTCGGTGAAAATTTCTGTCAAAATACTTTATTTACTTTTATTCCTCAGAAAAGCCCTGTTTGCACAGTTTTTAACTGGTTGAATCTAAAGATATCCTCCAGTTGTAACAATGCTGTTGTGTCATTCACAGTCAGATTCATTCTAATTTTGTTTTTCTCACTTTCAAAAGCCTGTTAACCTTATGAGTTTGGTAAATGTCTGCTTTCAGTTTTGTATGATTTTAAATTTTATACTTTTATATGTGGTGAAAAGTGTCTCTTCTTTAAGTGAGATTAATTTGCTCACAGTTAAAAAATCCATTTAAGAAAACAAACTGTCTGACCTAAATTATAATATGGCTGTATAACATGAAGTGACACAAAATAATGAAATTGTTTATTATCAGTGATGAAAAGAATCTAAAGATAAATCACATTGTTGGCTCATTAATAAACCAGTCTACCTTTGTAAGGGATAAAGGAGGATTTGGGGGAAAACATCAACAAAATTAAAAGAAAAATATAAAAAAAATAATTTGGTGGGATGAATCTTTGTAGCCCAGTTTGCTGTTTTAATGATTTATTGATAAAAAATAATACTTCTGGATTTCTATAACAAACATAACTTGATTTATTTGACCTGCTAAAATGTATTGATCTTCTGTCTTCATGATAAATTATATTTTGATTAACAGATCATTAAATCAGAGCAACCTGGGCGACACTGATCTTTTGTGAGTAACTATGATCTAATAGCACCAGTATTTAAGAAAAACAAATGGTTGCTGATGTTCTGGTTTTTTTTTTTTTTTTTTCAAACATGGCACCAGCATGGATTCAGACCCACATTATGGGCCAAGTTGGGTCAGTTTTTGGTGGAAATGAGCGTTTGGTAAAGAGGTTTAACAATAACATGGAGGGAGAGGGATCCATCTGTGAGGTACTCAGAGGTCCGACGGTACAGGTTGGCCTCAGACAGGAAGTCGCCATTTTCCTCTGTGCTCTGGTGAAAGCTGTAGACATTTTTCACAACCAGCTTCCCCTGCTGCTGAGCCATCACAAGCACCGTCTTCTGGAAGTTCACTCCAGCAAAGTCAGCGCTAGACGTGGCCGGAGTGATGATGATCCGAGGACGTCCTCCTTCCACTCGGGTGGGCTGCATGGCGCCAGTCTCAGTGTACATGGGCCTCATGCTGAGGGGTAACCAGCGAGGTGAGAACAGGGCATTCCAGGTCACCCGTTTGCTAGCATCGTGGCTGCTGGGCCCCAGCTGGGTTTGGAAGCTGGTGCTGCGGTCATCTCGGGTAGGGTTGTTGATGACCCAAGGTGAACCCCACATCAAGGAAAGGTAGTTCCTGGGAACAAAGAGGCTGCAGTTCACGTCAAAGTACTTGGCCATCTGCAGCGGAGAGGCCGAGTGGAACTGGTAGGACATGTACAACAGGTCACGCACCGACTCCTGATAGCGAGCCAGGACGGTGGACTGGGTCTGCAGACGGAACAGATCCCTAGCGGGCATCATGGCATAGCGCACAGCTCTCAGAGCATTCTCTGCCGTCAGCCCATCTGGCTCATTCTGGAGGATCCAGGTCTCCAGCGCTGTGAAGAGTTCCATCTCGCTCTGCAAGACCAAGTCGGAGCGCTGCAGCAGCGTCATGAGCAGCTGGTTGCTGATGGATGCCCACTCGCCACTGTGAAGCACAGATGACAGGTTCCAGGACAGAAACTGCAAGCAGCTGTCCCTCAGGGTGGTGTCACCTGCCTGCAAAGCGTACTCGTACCAACCCGCCACATGGCCCGAAGGGGTGTCTCGGGCCAGATTCTGGGTCATATACTGGCTGACGCCCTGCTGCAGACTCTGGACCTGGTACTTAGTGGCCAGTTTGTGCAGAGGTGTGGCCTGGTCCAGGTGAAGAGAAATTTCTCCACAGTATAGATACCTGCACGGAGAAAACGTTACTCAGTTATCAGAAAAATAACAAATAAAAATAAATACTTCAGTAAGAACCTTATTGAAAAAATATTATACATGAAGAAGCCACATCTGACTCCAAGCAAAACCTAAACTGTCTCATAAAAAATCTGAATGAGCACTGGGGTGTCGAAAAAACAGGAAATAACGATAAAACAACTACAGATTAACAGCTGCCAATTGCACGTGGAGCCATTTTGTTCCAGTCTGGTGGGAAAATATGTTACAAAGGCTCTGAAGCCTTTAGCATATTCAGAAAACATATTTCACACAATCTTGGGAACTTTACCATACCATGGGCCACAAAGGTGTCTGTGTAAATGTACTTTTTATCTGAACTGACATCATCCCCATTTAGGTCGGGGGGGGGGGTCTCTCTCCAGTGGTCACCAGGCGAGAGGTGGGGGACACCATGGACAGATCACCCATTCCATCACAGGGACACAAAGAATGCACATCCAGGGACAATTTAGTGTCTCCTATAAAACCCAGCAATGTGAAAATCAACACATTTTTGAAACTTGGTGCACTGTGCAAATAAGGCCTGTTTGCATCAAAGCCATCATGGCAGGAATAACACAGATTTATGTTTTTAAACTTCATTAAGGCGCGTGTGATAGGAATGGATTTTTCTATCGACTGCTCCTACTGCAGGAACTCTGCTGTGTCTCACAGCTCCACCTCGGCAGCTGCCTCGTTAATCACTTTGTTTTCTGTTGAATCACTGATTGTTTTGTTTTAGACGTAAGAAACCACTCGTCCCTCCAGAGGGCGATCTGTCTCAGGTTCTGATTGGGTGGGGGGTGTCCAGTCTCACCTGATGAACCTGTCAAACACAGCGGCGCAGTCTGAGCTCTCTCTCAGCTCCAGAGTGCTGCCGTTTCTGCTCAGCAGCATCTCCTGGAACACCGGGCTCTGCAGGGACAGAACCAGGGAGTGGGCTTGGATCACCTTCACCTCGTCAGCGCTGGGCGTCTCCACACGCAGAGACACGTCACTTCCATTCCCCTGGATCAGCAGGCTCTCCAGACGCTGCACCAGAGTCAGAGGGTGACTGATGGTGTCGCTGCCTGCATCCTGGGTGGCTTCAACCTTCAGCAAGCCTGCGTCAACGAAGAAAAGGAGGAACTGGTGAAGTCGGAGCATGTCACCATCAGAATGCAGCTTAGTAAATAAAAACATTCAGAGTTTGCCAACAAGCTGCATGTGGGTCAGATAGTAGAACAGAATCGTGAAAATCCATGCCATTGATCAGCCCCAGCTGCTCCATAGATAATGAAGGATTGTGGGTCATGTTTAATTAAACCTCTGTCTGAGCTGAGCCGTTTCTTCCTCCTCCTCCTCCTCCTCCCTGGACTCTGTAGGGATGTGGGTTCTGATTCATGTTACCAAAGTCTGGTTCCTCTTTCTCTCAGTAAGTTTGGCACATCCTTCCGTTTAGCACAGACAGAACACAACATGAACTGCGGCGCTCCCATGAATCACCACACGGGTAGTGTACATTTAAAAATATAGTTCAGAGGTCACAGGGATTGTCCAAAAATATACTTCAGCTGTCAGCAGTTTCAAAAAGTATCAGGGAATTTGTTCTAGAAAGGAAAAATAACCTGAGAGTAAAACAATCTGTTTGCAGGTTTGGTGAAAGCTGTCTTTGAGCGTTGGTTTGGATAAAGTGCCTCGAGATAACTCTTGTTATGTTTTGGTGCTGTATAAATAAATTAAATTGAAATAAACAGAATTTAGTTTCATTTAAGATTTTGCTGTTTTGATCATATTTTAATTTAAATATTTGTGTGTCTTTTGGACATTTTATATCTGAACTCCAAGGTGAACATTTAGGCTCTGTTGGTGGTTTAAATGGGGCAATGGTGGCACAGGAGATAAGAGCTCACCCCGTAATCGGAAGGTTGCAGGTTCGAGCCCCTTTCAGTCTGTCGCTGTCGTTGTGTCCTTTGGCAAGACACTTAACCCACGTTGCCTGCTGGTGGTGGTCAGAGGGACCGGCGGCGCCAGTGCTCGGCAGCCTCGCCTCTGTCAGTGCGCCCCAGGGCAGCTGTGGCTACATCCTAGCTCATCACCATCAGTATGTGAATGTGTGAGTGAATGGGTGAATGACTGATTGTGTTGTAAAGTGTCTTGGGGGGTTCCATGACTCTAGAAGGCGCTATATCAAATACACGCCATTTACCATTTTAATAGCTGAATATCTCTCAGATTTAACTCGAGCTTTATGTTCAGATGAGTTTCTTTCCTCTATAAAACACCACCAACAAAAACAAATCCTGGACACATTTTAAAAGCCTAAATTCACAGACCTGATTATGATGCTGCAACAAGAAAATTTGAAATACTTGCCCACAGTCAAAACAAGAGACAAAACAATCTCAATTTCAATCATTCCTCTTAAAAAAAACCTCATCCTATATTCTATCTGTAAAACCTGAAACCTTGTTGTAATTTTGCAGTCAGATTTCTGTTCTTACCTGCAGCAGCCACCTCCACTTGAAGCCACGCAGACAGTAACAGAATCCCAGCGTGGATTTGAACCGCTGCTTTTACCATCTTTGATCTCGTTTGTTAGAACCGTCTCCAGACCTCTGCTTCTTTCTGCCTCAGCTGTGGAGGATCAGTAGGTCTGGGTAGACCTCATCACAGAAACCCACAGTCATTGATTAGTGGGAGGAAACAAGCTCGGGTTGTTTCCATGATCACGTCTTTCATCCTGACTTTGGGAAGTAGGACTGATCAGCTGAGGTGAGGAAGCTAGAACCTCCGACTGTTCGGGTTTTCTGTAGTTCTATATTTTAATAGTTTAGCCAGCTTTGTGTTATGATCCTTTGATGTTGCCAGTGAGGCTTTCTCTCTTGCTTCATTCTGAGGATCCTCACTGTGTGAAGATGCTAATCCAGCAAAATGTGACAGTTTTAGATAACATGAAATTGTTCTGTTTTCATACATAATAAATAAAAACATAAATGCATGCCAATAAGTGTCCAAAAAACTGTTTTGTTCTGTATATTTTCTCCTGGTATGTTAATTTGAGACCAGTCCATACATAACCAGCTTTACATTAAGCTGTAAATCAGCAGTTTATAACTGAATTTAGGATTTATTTTTGCAACAATAAATCTTAGAAGTCGCTTTCTTTTATTTGTAAATGTTAAGTCAGAGGTCAATCTGTTTGGCCCTCCAGTTACTTTCAGTCATACTTGTTCTAATCTTAGCACATTGCTAGATGCCATGGACTGCGGTTGAGTTCAGCTGAAATATGTTGTTCTGCTTTTTGTTTTGTGTTATTTTTCTTCCAGTTTCAGAATGATCTCTAAAACCGATATAGATTCCTTTGCTCCATTTCTTTAGGGTTACAGTAACTTTTAACTCATCCACACTAATTGTCTCTGTGTTGACAGCATGTTCTTTTTAAAATTCTGACGCAAACACCGTTTGAAATGTTTAAGCATATTTACAAACCCTGTTGTAGTGTGAGTGTGTCAGTGTGTTCACCCAGTTGCACGCATGTCCTTGACACATGGTCAAATGTAATTTATCCACAGCTTCAGGCTACAGGATGCTTTATTAGGACGCACAGCCAGTTACACAATCAATAAGGTTTTTGTGTCATTTTAATTAAACCCAGCAACACAAACCAAACAGAATCCTTCTGCTGCTCTATTCTGTTCGGTTCTGATGCTCCAGAGTGGATGTTAAGTTCAGGTCTGACTGTCGGTTTGGATATTTGCCAGCCGGCCAGTTGTTCACCTAGCAGCCTTCAACGCACGCATCTACTTCCTCTTCTCTGTTGGTTGGTTCAGTTTGGAGCTTTTTGAATTTCACTCACAGTCTGTAAAAAAAATTAAGTTTAGAATGTTTACACGTAGAGTTAAAAACATCAGAAAAATGTATTTTCAAAAATATTCCTCTGATTTCTTCAAAACACCAAAATCTAACATAACACTCAGCTTAGCAATGTTCCAGAGATGGAAGAAGGAAGAGAGAACAAGAGAACTGACATGAGAATCCAGGGTGAGAGCTGGGTCAAAGGTCACGCCAAGATCCCTGACAGAGGGTTTGGTGTGAGAAGCAAGCTGACCAAGAGAGTCTCTGACTTTGGGAACCAGCTTGTCTGGAGCACAGATGAGGATCTCAGTCTCATCTTCATTCAGCTGTAGAAAGCTCCCAGCCATCCAGATTTTAATAGAGTCTAAGCAGGTGTGTAACAGCTGCAGCTTAGACATCTCATGGGGCTTAAAGGAGATGTACAGTTGGATGTCATCTGCATAAAGATGGAGATTCCTTTGAAGGAGCTCAGGATGTGCTGAAGAGGAAGCAGATAGAGGAGGAAGAGCAGAGGCCCCAGCACAGAACCTTGTGGGACACCAAGGGTAAGAGAGGTGGTGGAGGACCTAAACTTGGAGACAGCCACAGAAAAGGAGCACTCAGAGAGATAAGAGGAGAACCACTCCAGAGCAGTTCCTGATAGTCCTACCCAGTCTCTCAGCCTCTCCAGTAGCAGGTGATGGTCAACAGTGTCAAAGGCTGCAGTCAGGTCCAGCAGGACCAGAACAGAACAGCCCCCTGCATCACTGTGAGTCAGAAGGTTAGAGACCCTAAGAAGAGCTGTTTCAGTAGAATGAGCTCTATGAAAACCTGACTGGAAGCAATCATAGATGTTATGTTCATCAAGAGCAGCTGAGCTGTTTAGCCACAACCTTTTCCAAGATCTTGGAGATGAACGGAAGTTTAGAGATGCCCCTCAGACTTGTCATGATGGTAAACTAGATCTATTAAACCTAATAAAAAAATTAATTAACCAGGCTGTAAACATGTTTGTTCCTGCTGTGAAGTTGACATTTTTTACATGGGAGTCAATGGGAACTTGCTCCTTTCTGAAGCAAGCCCCTAGTGGATGAGGATGGAATTGCAATTGTTGTCGTGTGTTTTGCCTTTGATTTTGGCAGGTAGAGCTGGCCCCTTGACAGTAAAGATCAAAGATGTCAAAGAAAACCGTGCTGTGCGGTGCCAATAAATGTGGAATAAATTGCTAGGTTATTTTTGTTTTGTGTATAACTTTAAAAGAAATGTATTTATTTATTACTCCCTATTTTATTTTTCATTTATGTTCACCTTGTTAAGTCATCAAGCGAGGGGACAAATTTGACAAGAGAGACAAAGGAACATAAAACAAAGATGAATTAATAAAATTGGTTGTGGTGAAAGCTGAAGTACAAATAGCAGTGTCGTAAAAATGGATTATAACTTGACACATTATTAAATTCTTCACTGACTTTCCATAAATACAACAACTAACCAGGTTATTTATTTATTTTTTTTAAAGAGCAAAAGCTTTAAAAAATTAAAGAAAAATATGAAAACAAAAAGTTAACCTCGGAACACCCTAGAAGTGAAACTTCTATTTCAGTGGATTCAGTGCAATTATGTCTGCGGATTACCCCCACTAGAGGGCAGCGTGGCTGCAGCAGAGAGATGCTGACAGGCCCATTGACCGCTGGAGATAGCCCCCCCCCCCCCCCCCCCCCCCGCGACCCCACATGGACAAGCTGGTTCAGAAAATGGATGGATGGAATAAACAGCAGTGTGTCATGTGTTATTATTGTGAAATCAAAGAAAACTGTCAGGACATGAAACACTTTTATAATAAGATCAAAGAGAACTTGATTTAACAAACACATTTGTTCTCAGAGTGGATGAAGTTCAGTTTATGTGAATCAGCGCAGGTGATTTGTGAGTGTTTCTCTGAGGTGGGTCTTCTTGAGCTCACATTAAACATGAAGATAGAAAATATAAATAAAAATATGTTTGTGTCTGTATGACAAAACACAGAGAAAAGATGAAACAACCTTCAAATAATTATTCCATTTCTATTTTTATCTTGCACTGTGGAGGAAATATATCAACCGACTAGCCAGGGAACGCGTTGGGGTGCCACTTGTGGAGCTTGTGGAGGATGCTGCTCTCTGCTAGAGCTGCTTCCTCTGCAACCTGGACCCTGATAAGTGAACAAAAAAGGTTATATGGACAGATGGTGCAGACTGAAACAATATTTCTGTTTCTATTTCCAGATTTTCAGTTTTCAGTCTGTTCTAATTTTCTCCTTTTTCCTTTCCTCAGTTTCACAGTGATTTCAAGAAAAAAATATCTATCAGCTCCACTAATGTTAAATCTAGTCTCTGCTGTCATCATCTGTAGCAGGATAAATAAGCTCAGAATAAATTGCATGGAAGAAATGAACACTTTAGGGACCAAACATTTTTCCCACAAGTCCATGAGAGGCCCGAGGGCCTCTGTTTGCATGCCAGGGCTGTAGAGTCTTTATTAATCGTGTTCCTGAGTCTAATTGTTTTGTCCACAGCAGCATTAAAAATGACGTTTTCTCAGAGTTCCGGTTTACTTTGCAGCAGAGAGTTAAATCAGGTTTTAATTGGATGAATAATAAGGAGTTTGCTCCAGAGTCACCACTTTGGAACGGCTTGAACAAATAACACAGAAACTGGATCATTTCATAGCGGCATGCCTCACTGGTCCCAGTTATTAGTTTCAGGTACAGGACCAAAACTAAAATACAACAAAACCTACAAAGACATTCTGATCCAAGCTTCACGTTTGAAAGTTTAGACATTAGTAAAGCTACAGTTTTCATCAAACAGAAATGGGGAACTCTTGGTGCTTGTATGTGTTTATGAGAGTGTGATTTTAGAAGCTCGTCATTCATGAGACTAAAAGAAATCTTCATCCTGAGGGTAAGTTTCTGTCACGTCCTCCAATCTGCTTTATTTATCATTTTTCCAGTGATGCAGGTTACGTCTCTTAAAGCGAAACTCCAGATATTTTATTACGGTGATGATCTTTTAAGCCTGCCAGTGGAAGCATTAATGCTTTCTGTTTCAAAACTGTCAAGAAATAAGTAAGAGCTTATCCTCTCAGTGAGGGATCAACCTTCGGAGAAAGTGATGACATGATGCAAGAGAAAAAACAACAATGAAAGACCTTTAAAGGTTTTATGAATAAATGCAGAAACAGTATTTTTGATCACTTTACGGTTAAACAGCTCCTAAAGCCAGATTAAAAGTGGTCTTACGTAACGGGACGCCTTGTTGAAAAGGGTTAAATCCAAGCTGATCCTTGAGACTCGGGCTGGAGCGTTCCCAGTCGGCTGGAAGGAACGAGTTTAGGATTAGTGTGGGGAAAAATAAGACTCATGGTGAGAAACTGTCGACTAGCCAACGACACTGGCTGGAATAACAAGCGGAGCAGAATCCTCCAACTGATGGAGCAGCAGAGAAGATCCAGAACCGGTCCTGATTACCGACTGGCACCAACTTCTAGTAAAAACATTTACTCGCTGATAATCCTGGTTTACTTAATTACCACCTGCCACCAGAGCCTGCCATTATCTAACACATTTGTGTCATCTGCCCTCTGTGGCCATGAGCACTGCAGGTCCTGAGAGGAAACTTAACTGTTTTATTGTTATTTGAAACAGAATAGTCAGACTTCTTTTTCTTTGTGTCTCAGTGATCAAAGCGTTTGAGCTGTTTTCACGTAGGGGTAGCTTTCTCAACCTTCATCAGTTCTTTGTAACAATCAATGTTTTCCTCTTCATCTCTATATTATCTATATTATACATCCATGGACGTAATTTTGGGGGGGACAGGGGGGACATGTCCCCCCCACTTTTTCCAAAGTCAATTTTTGACCCCTGTACTTTTTACCATCCAAAAACAACATTACGCTATATTAAATTGACACTGGTTGAGCTCTAGGACCAGGCGGAAAACAACCGTTTGTGTTGAAGCCTGTTTCCCATTAGAGCATACTGTAAAGATACACCCCCCCCCCCCCCGTGTCCCCCCCCCGTGTCCCCCCCCCCCGTGTCCCCCCCCCCCCCACTTCTAAAGTGAAAATTACGTCCATGTATACATCGTAAAGAGCCCTGAGGAACACCAGGAGCCGCTAACCTGTCGGAGCTCCTGATTTCAACTCAAACACAGATATTTTCATTTCAGTTTCTGAATATTTTTACTCCTGTGAAATGCCACCAGGTCCTTGTCATTTCAAAATCTTGACTCGAAAAATACAAGTTTAAGGGAAACTTGGACCCTCATGAAATCAGCAGCTGCCTGCGGACATAAGTCCTTAGATTTTTTTGTTTTCTTTTCTCAGAAAGGAAATGTACCGGCTGATCACAGTAGAAGCACAACCATGAATCAGACACGTGCTCTCTCTACGTGTCTGACTGGTAACGGCTCGTGTGCATGTGCACATTCGTTAGTGACCCCCTGCAGGCGAAGGTCAGGGGTAAAGCACAGAATGTCAGATAAACTCCTGTTGATGTGCATCTGCCAGAGTAGGCAGCTGATTGGGTCAGAATGAGCTCGTGTAAGGATCAGGTTTGTAAAAGGTTCGTCAACAAGCATTAGATGAATTAGGTGGTGGGGTCTGCTCTTCCAGGGTTCTGTTTACTTTGGAGCCCTGCTGTGGTCGCGAGACGTGCTTCCTTACACAGTTCGGTTCAATTACCCACACAGCCACTGATGGTTCTGATCCCCTTTACTGTAATTGTATTAGTCTGAAGCACTCTTAAGAATACGTGACCAAAATTAGCTGGTACAGGATGTCACCGCTGTGTCCTCGCCACTCTACTGTGTTTGATCAGAAACTGGTGACATTTTCCAACCACCACAACATGTAGTTGTTTGGGCACAACCTAGTGTTCATTTCCCCCAATGGCATATACGTTTGGACATGAAGCAATTGAGTAAGTACAAATATCTGCAAAATGATGACTTCTGGCTTGCTTTCATCATGTCTGCCAACATCAACTATACTGGTTCAGGCTGAATAATCAATCATACTACTAATAATCTTCACTTAATTGCTTGTGTCATTTCTCACAAAATTGTTGAACATGTTGTTAAATATTTTGTACACCCATTTTCTAAATATTTTTATTGTGTTTCCATGAAGATGTCCATAAATAACTTTTCTCAGGTGAACCTTGTCTTACACTACTGAAAAGGGTGTGTGAACTAAAATGACCCACACTTGCATAGCGCCACTATAGCGTCTCATTCATCCATTCACACACGCATTCACACGCTGGTGGGGATTAGCTACAGACTAGCCACATCTGCCCTGGGGCGTGCTGAAGGAGGTGAGGCTGCCGAGTACTGGCGCCACCGGTCCCTCTGACCACCATCAGCAGGCAAGGTGGGTCAAGTGTCTTGCCCAAGGACACAACAACAGCATTCTCTGGTCAGAGCCGGGATTGAGCCTGCAACCTTCCGATTACTGGACAACCCGTTCTACCTCCTGAGTTACTGCTGCCCCTGAATCTACATGAAACAACAGTACAATATGCCTTTTGAACGGAACAGTGACTTGAATGCTTGCTGTACTCTGTTAACTACAGTGCTTTACTGTAAACCCTTTATGTATTGCTGTGCACTGCACTTGCACTGCAGTGTTGCGTGTGTTACTGTAACTATATTTACAGTGTATACTATAATAATAATAATAATAATACATTTTATTTAAAAGCGCCTTTCAGAACACCCAAGGTCACTTGACAGAAAACACTTAATAAAATACAATAAAACAATAATAAAACCCTAACAAGAAAAAAAAACAAAGAGAGAAACAGTTCAATAGAATCAGAGGTTGTAGGCAGATTTAAACATGTGTGTTTTGAGTTTTGTTTTGAAAAGGGTAAAACTGTCGATGTTCCTGATGTCTGAGGGAAGTGAGTTCCAGAGACAAGGAGCAGAGCGGCTGAAAGCTCTGCTCCCCATGGTAGCGAGACGGGCAGAAGGAACCGCAAGATGGATGGAAGAAGAAGATCTGAGTGAACGGGATGGGGTGTGAATACTTATAAGGTCTGAGATATATGGAGGAGAGAGGTAGTGGATTGCTTTGAAGGTATGGAGGAGAATTTTGAAGATGGACCTGAATTTAACTGGGAGCCAGTGAAGCTGCTGGAGAACCGGGGTGATGTGGTGAAAGGAAGGGGTTCTGGTGATAATACGGGCTGCTGAATTCTGGACCAGTTGCAGTTTATGAAGGAGTTTGTTGGGGAGACCATAAAGAAGTGAATTGCAATAGTAACTCAGTTAGTTACTATTTTTTACAAAGTCTGTCACTTCAGTAACAAAGTGTGCAGTATACTGCACACTTTGTTGTGTCAAATGCTGTTACACTTTTTGTCACCCTCTGTATAGCATATCCTGGAATTGGAGGCCAGGGAACCACTGCACAGGTTCATAAATCTTGGGGAAGCGGGATTCAGTGTGGCTAAAGGAAGACGGCGTGGAAGAAACCACACTGGGGAGAGAGCCACCATTGATGTCCCAGGCCAATGAGGACAGAATATTACAACGTGTGCAGCAATCTCAGAAAACAAACAGTTAGACAGAACAGTCCCAAATATACAGTATAAAATAAAGCGCAGATTCACAGTCTTGATTTTATAATTTTAGTTTTCGAAATGCCATGGATGGTATATAAATGCTATCTTGACTTTACATTGGGCAGCACTTCCAGAGTAATCTCTCACAGTGAAAGACGTGTTCAAACCTTTGGACTTGTTTGTCTAAAGATGCTGATGGCATAACTTGTCATTCTTACGACGCTGACACTTTCAGTGACATAAACACTTGAGTTTGAAGAACAAATGATACATTTTGATTAAGGGACTTGCTTTGATGCATGAACTACCCATGATAAACTACTGACCTTTGTGCAATTGATTTTCCATGTAGAGAAAGTGACCCGCTTCTGCAGGTTATCTACCATATTTTGCGGTTTGCACTAACTGTTTTGAGAAATGCCTTAGTGGTACACATTTTAATACTGTTGAGGGAAATGCTCCAAAGCCACTGAGGAAAAACTGTAAAACTCTGAAGCAAATGAGCCTTTTGGCACGAGCTCCATAGTTTAGGTGCTAAAATGGCAAAAGCCAGATCCCCTCTGGACCTTCAGATGGGAAGACAAACAACAGATTCTGTTTTGCTGAAACAAGCAATTAGTTTTTGTCCTGTTTGTGAGAGAATCTTGTTCTTCTTTCCCTTTTTTTAATAAACAAAATTTGCCTTTAAAAAAACATTTTTCTTTAAAAGCAACAGAGAAATAAATCTCTCTCACTCGCTGTCATGGCCATAAGCATCACAACAAAATGAAAACGAACATTTCCCAGACCTTACACCAGTTTGCCTCTCAGGACTGATTTGGAGAAACAGAAAAAAGGGAAAAAAAATGTTGTGTTTTCTTACAGATTAAAATAAGAGGGATTATTTTGGTCAGACTTTCAAAAAGTCTCTATTATTTATTTTTATGCATGCTACACAAGAAACACAAACGTGCCTCATGATGAGATGAGAGTGATTGGATATTCTTGGGTTGATGTTTTGTGTCCTCGTGTATCTCGTTTATTTTTAAGAACAGCATTATTTTGAGAAAAGCATTAAGTGGATTTTAAAGCACAGATTTATCTGATCAGATAAAGTCAGATAAATGTTGGACTCGGCGTCACCATGGCAACTCGCAGTCACGGCAGCAGCTTCTCTTGTCTCTGTTTTGTTTAAATGCATTTTGACAAATTCAATTTCAACTTTTCTGGACCTATAACAGATTCAGTACTTTAGCATCAACCTGTTTCCACCAGTTCTTTCAGAAACCAGTCTCACAAATAAAACATTTCACACCAGGCCTCACACATCATACACACCTTAACTGCAAGTATCTGGACTCAGTTTAGCGTTTCAGTTTCACTCATGATTTGTTTCTCTGTGAAAGAGTCAGAGGTTATTAGATCAACGCAATCTAAGCTGGTTCACAGGATATGAGTTATGTGAGTTTAGCTATTGTCGAATCTGCTGATTTGCTCAGCTGCTGGGTTTGGTCGGTATTTGAATTTTGGACCCAGGCTTCAGTCAAACAGCTTTAAGTGGATTTAATTTGTCACTTTTTGATACTGATGGCACTTCAGAATGAATTCTTGTAAAAAAAATGCCTCGATGAGCCGTTCCATCATCTTTTCTCACACTTTCATTTGATCCATTTCCTCCCTTTGAACACACCAGTCTCCTCCCCCGTCCTCCCCTTCGTTTTCACTCCCCTCGTCTTCATTGCGCTCCTCTCACAAAGCTCAGCTGTTGTAGTGATGTGCCGACGGCCTGGATTCCTCTCCTCCTCCTCCTCCTCCTCCTACTCCACTGTCTCCTTGCCGACTGTCCAGCAGGGACTCTGTAGGAGCCCCGGGCGGGGGATCAACAGTGAAGAAGAGCGGCTGTGCTCCAGAAGGAGAGGCTCAGTGAAAACTGAATGTGAAGGTAAGACCCAGAATTATAAATCTGAGATGCTGCTCATTCCAAGCATATGTTTTTGGTGCAACCGCCGCAGCTCTGCATCAGTGACTCTCCTTATTGGGTCAGGTCATTAGTTTGTTTTGCTGATTTGGATTGTCTTGTTAAGCTGACCTCATGTTGACCTGAAGTTTTTGCTTCAGCCTAAACTCTTCTGAGAAAGAGTTCCTGGTTTTTCATCACACCGCCTGCAGTTTCATGTGTCAGAACACACTTCTGGATTCAGTCTCCCTAACAGCTCGGAGCAGGTCAGAGCTTTGGCCTCAGGATGATAATCTGACAGGTTTTTTGTTTCTGCTGTCGTCTGTCGGCTGGAGATGAACACCAGATTTTTATCCTCTTTTAATGCAGAATCCACATTTTTTCTGCTGTCGTCATGTGAACCTATGATCCTCTGCTGTGCAGTTATTCTGGCAGCCTTGAATCTGTCAGTGCCGTTGTTTCAGGTGATCTCTTGATGAATAATTAAGTCGGAGTTCGATTCAGCTGAAGCTGTATCTCAACCCTGAAAAACAGTTTTTAAACAGAAACAAGATTCTGATTTTCACTGTCTCTTCTGTCCTGCACTGTGGCATTGTTTGTATTGTTTTACCTCCAAACCTGCCTGATAGGATTCAATTACACACCTCTGGAGTCAGAAGAGTTGATCTCCACTTCCAGAGTCTGCAGCACTCCCGGGAGAAGGACTCTCTGAGCTGCAGAGTTTCAGAGGTCCTTGGTCAGTGTGGAGATGTCTGCTGTCCTATCGATTAGCTGGAGTGTTTACAGGTCTTTTGTCTCACGTTTAGCTGGCAGCCTCGCGACCTTCTCATTCATAACGATCATGTTTCTCTGCGCTGGTCATGAGCCGAGGAACGTGATGAAATGGATCAGGTTTCTATATAAGGCTGAGTCAGGTTTGCAGGTTGATGGTTGGACTCTGGGAAATCTGCTCCAGCATCCTGTCCCCGCTATCTTTTTGCTCATTGCAGCTTCAGATTGAAAATGTTTTTTTTCTTAAATGCATTTTCATGATTTGTAAGGAACCACGCAGAAATGTTAGCATGTTAACGCGCCACTAGATAAGGTGATGCACATGAATGATGCAGTACAAGAACGAAAGTTCATAAGAATATTTTACAGGAAAAAAATGATGAAATAAGTCAAAATGTTGACTGGATACTAAAAAAAATTTACTTAAATCCTCTTCCAAAAATGGCACTGCTTTGTAGGAAATGTTCTGTTTCCTGCAGGATTTACTAGATGCTGAGCATCGCTTGTGAAGGAGACTGCAGCTCTGTCCCTGAGCTGCTTCATGCTGGAGGTCAAACAGCTGAACGTTTCGCTGCACAAACACTACACCTCCTCTGGGAGCCGCTCACCTATTCATACTGAGCTGGGCATTTTATCTCCGCTCGTGGAAAAACTTCAGATTAAATGTGTGAAATGTGAGACGTTTTGTGTTGAAAAACAACGTAGAACCACTCTAAGTTCATGTTTCCTCCAAAGTTAACTGATGAGACATTTTGGTCTGGATTAGAAGTTCAGGCTTAACTAAACAGAGCTTTCAGTCACATAATCATAATGAAAACATTCTGTTTTCTTCACCCCCCTGGGAGCCCACAGGGCATTAAAACTTCCTCTGATGTTGTTTACATGAAGAATAAAGTTGATTGTTGCATTAAAATGACTGTATGTAAGGAAATGGAAAAACAACCTTCCCAAGATCGCTCCTTCTAGTGCCAGAGGTTATTAGTGTCTCCTAGGAGGAGGTTGGGGTGGATTGACCAAATATTTTCCAAGATAGAAATGAGGAATATTTGACTTTTGGCATCTGTTTCTTTCTGTCTCAGTTCAAACTTTAAAATCAAAGTTTTCATCTTGAATAAGTTGGTATGTAAGTATGAGTCACAGGATCTGCTGATTCTGATCTTTTCTTGATGCCAAAAGAAATTAAAAACACAAATTTAAAGAGCAAGTCACCCTCAAATCAACTTTTTTTTTGTCGATAAACTATATAAATGAGTGTCTAATTGCTCTGTAGACACATTCAGTCAATAATTTTGCACTTTAGTTAATCTTAGTTAAAATTTAAATAATCTGCCTCAAACTGTCAGCGATGCACCGTCGTCGGGCAAAAACTCAGCACTGCATTTGAGTTTAAATCTGCCATCGCTATTGGCTAAGAGGTATACTATGATGTTAGATGGTACATTATGATGTCACAATGTCGTGAGTGTGTGTATTTGTTAGAGGCTCCACCCTCTCGGTCTGCTAGGCAACAGCATTTGTTGCATTTTTCAAACAGGAAGTGGGAGTTGAGTAAGAATCTGGCAGGGGGTGACTTGCTCTTTAATGCCAGCTTTTCTAAACCTGAAAGGACAACCAAATGAAATAACCCATGTAACAATTGTCTTTTCTTTATATTTCCCTTTATGTTTTAGATTTGTCTATTTATCATGTAAACTTTTATACTTTTACATTTGTGCACCTTAAACTGAGTGTGTGAAAGAAGCGCACGTGTGTGTGCATGTGTGGCATCTACTGTATGGTAGTCTTGTTCTTTATTCGTCTCTCACTACCTCCTTATGAGAGCTGTCTGAGTGCAGAGACAAATCTGTTGTACATCTGTGCAACGACAATTAACAACTTTGAATCTTCAAGGTCGTGTAGAGAAAGATTTAGTGCTGCAGTTTGAAAGTCAAAGATGTTTTGGGGAAAATGTGGACAATGAGTTTTTTTTTGTTGGTTTTGTTTTTATTTAAATTGAAATAATACAAAGGAAGACAACAACAAACAAGCTTTTACGAGAGAGAGAGAGAGAGAGAGAGAGAGAGAGAGAGAGAGAGAGAGAGAGAGAGAGGATGCTGATTTTAGCCAGGCCATACCACAAAAAGGTAATCTACTAGGGTGTATTATACACAGTTCAGTCCAACAGTTAATCGCTGTCAGGCAGGTATGTCTCATAATATAAATTCCCATAATATAAAAATCTCGTCTCGTCTCGTCTTCCTCCGCTTATCCGGGTCCGGGTCGCGGGGGCAGCATCCCAACTAGGGAGCTCCAGGCCGTCCTCTCCCCGGCCTTGTCCACCAGCTCCTCCGGCAGGACCCCAAGGCGTTCCCGGACCAGATTGGAGATGTAACCTCTCCAACGTGTCCTGGGTCGACCCGGGGGCCTTCTGCCGGCAGGACATGCCCGAAACACCTCCCCGGGGAGGCGTCCAGGAGGCATCCTGACCAGATGCCCAAACCACCTCAACTGGCTCCTTTCGATCCGGAGGAGCAGCGGTTCTACTCCGAGTCCCTCCCGAATGTCCGAGCTCCTCACCCTTTCTCTAAGGCTGAGCCCGGCCACCCTACGGAGGAAACTCATTTCGGCCGCTTGTATCCGCGATCTCGTTCTTTCGGTCATTACCCAAAGCTCATGACCATAGGTGAGGATTGGGACGTAGATCGACCGGTAAATCGAGAGCCTGGCTTTCTGGCTCAGCTCCCTCTTCCCCACGACAGATCGGCTCAACGTCCGCATCACTGCAGACGCCAAACCAATCCGCCTGTCGATCCCCCGATCCCTCCTACCCTCACTCGTGAACAATATAAATGATATAAAAATGAATAATAATAATAATAATAATAATAATAATAATAATAATAACAATAATAATAATAATAATAATGGGCAGTGATAGTTCCGACTATGTTGTATTGGAGTTTATGTGGTTTATAAAAGGACCCCAGATCTCAGTGGAAATAGGGTATCATCCAGGCGATGGCGTACCGCCTCCAATTATAAGCATGCTATCATTTCACATAGCCATGCAACTGACAAAGGAGGAAAGCGAGATTTCCAAGTTCTAAGAATAAGTCTCTCAGCTACAATCAAACCAAACATTAAGGCCTTCTGAAGGGCGCAAGAAAGCACCAGAGAGGCTAGGGAGCAACCTAAAATAGAAAGATTTAGTGCTGCAGTTTGAAAGTCAAAGATGTTTGATGTTTTTTTGAAAACGATGTGAACAATGAGGTCTGAAGTAAAATTCTTGGTGCCTAAAACCAAAAATACCATCAAGAGCTTTGGGTAGGAATGTGTGACTTTCCCAGTTTTATACTGTATCAAGAGATATACCGTAATTTCCGGACTATAGAGCGCACCTCAATATAAGTTTTTTAAAAACATGGAACTGTACTTATATAAGCCACACCAGGCTAAAAGCCGCAGATATCTACCGGACATCTACTGAATTGAAAACATAGTTTAACTGAACGTAAATGAACTGATCAGTATCAGACAAAATAGAAAAGTTATTGATTAGTTTATTCATCATCCTCCTGCGCACTGAAACCACTGAAGTCCTCTTCTTCGGCGTCGGAGTTGAACAGCCTCAGAAGAGCTTCGTCACGTACCTTTTCTGTAGCGATGACAGTGTCGCTGTCATCATCCCCGGGTGAAGCTGGCTTGAATGAGTTCTTCCCGCTGCCGTCTCCAGCGCCGAACCATGGATTCATTCATGCCAAGCTTACGTGCGGCAGCACTGTTTCCCTCCTTGACTGCCAGATCGATGGCCTTCAACTTAAATGCGGCAACATATGAACTCATACGTGTACTTACCATGATGAGAGGGTATGGATTAGAAAAAAATTCTTCGTCGTGCCGGCTGCTTGCATGTGCTACATTAAAATGAGCACTTTCTTCCATTTCCACTTTTGACTTCCACCTGTTTCACTTTCTGCTAAAGCGCCCCAAGGCAGGTGAAGGAAAATCTTCAGTAAAGCCGCACCTCATTATAAGTAGGGATGCACCGATCAGGTTTTTTGCTGCCGATCACCGATACCGATATCAAAGAATGCTGATCACCGATACAGATCACCGATACCGATCACGTGGATTGGCCAGAAATTTTCTACAACATTATAATGAGTGCTACAAACTACATAATCTGGGAATAAAGGAAATGTAACCTAATCTAAAATGGTCTGTATTCGGGTTGTCACAGTGTGAAAATTTAACCTCACGGTTATGGTGACCAAAATTACCACGGTTTTCGGTATTATCGCGGTATTTTTTTTAAATGTGCTACATTTTCACACAATTAAATAAACCCTGTATGTCAGGAAATATTGTCCTCAGTTTGTGTCTAAATTTTGCCTAAAATGTGTTATTTTGTAATTATGTTGTTTATTTGTTTACATATTTCCCCTTTGGTCTTTAAAATACCAATATTTGCCCATAACTTCTTATTTCATGTCTGTTTGATGTCATCATTTAAAAATATTAGACCAGATGATACTCAGTACTCAAGTAGCCTTCTAATCAGATACTTTTTACCCTTACTTGAGTAATAAACCCTATATCAGGAAAATATCATCCTCGGTTTGTGTCCTTCCAGTGAGCTTTGCAGATGTGCAATCAGGCAGTAATCATTGTTAAATTCATAATTATTCTCGGAGAGAGACCAACTCTTATCTGCCCCTGGGAGCCCCGTAATGCATAGCGTCATTTCAACATGGGGGTGTCCGCGACACGGTTTATATGCAGGTAGCGGCGCTGTGGCTGCTTCATATAGCGACTCGTTGCATTCTCCCTCAACCCAAATCCTCGGATCACGCATTTTAGCTAAAAGGCTAACGTTAGCTTGCCATGCGTTGACTGTAGAGTTGTGGGTGATGGTCATGCAGATGTGTCATGAGATTTGAAGCGTTGCTGCCTTTCACAGACACTTTTTCTGCACGTGCTGCAAACAGGATAGCCGTCTTCTATCAACTGTCCCTCGGCATTCTTCAAATATCTAAAATATGCCCGTACTTCCGACTTTGTCTTCTTTGATTGATAATAAATGTCCCGAGCGCTGCCGTCTCCTCCTTTGGCCATTATTTCAGCTTTTGCTTCAAGAAAGTTTTGGTTGTAAACAACGAAGCGCGCATGTGCCGCCGGCAACTTCAGCCGATGATACGGTGGCTGGTAAGGGTCACCGCGCCAACACCGCAGCCACGGTAAACTCACCAAGATAATATAGTTTTTTAAAAAACAAGACGGTTATTATTGTCAACTTTTTTTTTACCGGGGTTTACCGCTACACTGGTTACCATGACAACCCTACGGCTGATCGGTCTGCTTTGAGCTATTTTGAAAATTCCGATCAAAACCGACAGGGGCGCTATTGGCCGATTACGATCAAATGCCGATCTATCGGTGCATCCCTAATTATAAGCTGCATGGTTCAAAGCGTGGGGGGAAAAGTAGCAGCTTATAGTCCGGAAAATACGGTTTATGAAGAAATGCAGCAGTTTTGTTCTTTCTGATTATCTTTATGTGAACGAACTAACTGCTTTTTAATCACATGGTTTGAGCCGACTCATTTTACCAATTTGAATGAAAACATCCAAACACAGAGATGACCTCAGTCCAGCTAAAAGCCATGAAAGGTGTGAATCCAGCAGCAAAGACACGATTTAGACACATGAACAAGATGCTTCCTGAATCTGAGATGATGTTTATGTAGCTTCCACAAATGATTTATCACTATGAGTACGTTGGCGGGTGAGTGAAGTGAATCAGAAATGCGAGTTGTTGAGCAGATGGAGACAAACACGATGATGAAACACAGGTGAAAAGGTTAATCTGGGTAGACGTGTGAATGGCGAGTGATGGGAGACTGATTGGGTTGGAGCCATCTGTTGTTATCAGCCTACAGTTTAATTGGCCGACAAAAACTCAGCTGATAATTGACTCGTTGTTTCCTCTGTTTAGATCAGGGCTCTTCAAACCTGCGGCTCTTGGGCCTCGTGGGGCTTTAGACACTCTGAAATGGTTCGTTCATCAAAACGGACCTGAAGCTTTTTAATTATTGTAATGTGTGCAAAGAACTTCCTCGTCAGAATTAAATTTATGATATGAGAATTCCTGCCAGGGGCTGCACAGTGGCACAGTGGTTAGAGCTGTTGCCTTGCAGCAAGAAGGTCCTGGGTTCACGTCCCAGCCTGGGGTCTTTCTGCATGGAGCGTGCATGTTCTCCCTGTGCACACATGGGTTCTCTCTGGGTACTCCGGCTTCCTCCCACGGTCCAAAAGCATGGCTGTCAAGTTGGTTGCTCTCTCTAAATTGTCCTTAGGTGTGTGTGATTGATTGTTTGTCCTGTGTCTTCGTGTTGCCCTGATCTGAGGTGTACCCCCCCCCCCCCCCACACACACACACACACACACGCACATACACACCCACCTCCCCCCACCCCCGCAACCCTGCATGGACAAGCAGGCTCAGATAATGGATGGAATTCCTATTAGTGGCAGAAATTAACGCAAACATCTGGATTTTTCAGCAGAAAGGTGTTTAAAATTTTGTCATCTGTTTAAATTAATGGTTTGTTAGAATTAGACATTGTTTCTGACCCTCAGAGTGATGAAACTACACATCCGTCGAAATGGTTTGATCTTTTTTACCAACTAAAAATGATTGCTCGTCTCTGATGTGATGCTTATCTTCCTCCGGTTGACTCAGATATTCTTTAGGTTTACCTGCTCTTTTAGTATTCAGTTGTATATATATTTTTTCTGAGTCTTTGATGTATTTTTCTCTTTAGGGAACCACGAAGGTCATGATCAGCTGGCCCAATGCAACAGCGTCCGGCCATGAGGAGCTGGACCTGAAACCTGATCAGCTGCAGAAGTCCAAATGTGTCCTGGGATTCATTCCTGTCATCTACTACAGCATCCTGCTCTGTGTGGGAGTACCAGGTACATGGTTCAACTAAACCACAGTTATGGGACTGGGCCAGACCTGAGCAATTGATCCAGAAAGGAGTTAGAGGTATTTTACTGGTGCTGATGCAGGTTTTAATTATGTAACTGTCTCATAATCAGCTGAATATAAAACTAATAACCCCTCAAGCCAACTATTATTAGAGTTTTTTTTTTTGTTTCAACTTGTGATGCAGCTTCTGGTCCGTTACTCCATTAAACGCAGAGAGTTATATGAAACTTTAAAAGAAAGAGAGGGATCATCTCATTGACCTATAAGTTGCATTACCTGCTGTCCTCAGGGGGAAATAAATCTGTGATAAGAGTCGACCGCTTGATCAATGAAGAGCTTTTTGTCATCCAATCTGTGGAAATATTTCCTGCAGAGGAAAGCAGTTCCAGAGGCGTTAAATTAAAGACAAAATACATAAATTTATTTCTCTGTAGTATTCCTTTCGCACATCTTTTATGCAAATTTTAACGCTTGAAAAAACTTTTTTGCAGTCATTTGTGTTAAATTTGTGGTTTAAATTTACCAACAACTAAAGAAACCAAGATGAAACAAAGAACCCATTACACCAGTCATGTATGAGGAAATAATTCAACTTATTTACATTTATAAAAATAAATAATAATAACAAATAAAAGAAGAAGATTGAATATAAAAAATTAAACAAAAATATTGTATCTTTTTAAAAGGACATTTGTGATAATAAAATCATAAAAATAATTAGATAATTATTGTTTTTAATGAGTAAAAAATGAAAACCAAAGACTAAACAAACATACAAAATCTTTGATTTGGAAAATTTGCATGAATTCAAATTAACTTGATAACAAACTCAAAACATTTTTGGTGTTTATGTCTATAAAATGAAAATTAAGTAAATTTTAATGTACATTTTTTTATACATCTAAGCTTCCTGCTGTTTAAACTTTGGAGTTTGTTTCCTGTTTTCTCCAGTGAACATCCTGACGGCGGTGGCCCTGTCCAGGCTGGCGTCCCGCACTAAGAAGGCTCTGTACTACTACCTGTTAGCCATCACAGGCTCAGATATCCTCTCTCAACTCTTCATCATCTTTGTGGGCTTCTTGCTGGAGACGGCTGTTTTCCACCGTGACGTTCCCGTGCTCCTGCTGCATTCGGTCAGTGCTGCAGAGTTTGCTGCTAACCATGCCTCCATCTGGTCCACCGTCCCCCTCACAGTGGACCGTTATGTGGCGCTGTGCCACCCTCTCATCCATCGACAGATTAGCTACCCAGAACGAGCCAGGAAGATCATTGGCGCTGTGCTGCTGCTGTCGCTGGCATCCGGTGTTCCTTTCTTCTGGTGGTCAGACATGTGGAGGAACAGCCACCCTCCCACGGCGCTGGACACCATCCTCATATGGACCCATGTGACCATCATCTACTTCCTGCCCTGCAGCATCTTCTTGCTTCTGAACTCTCTGATTATCCACACACTGAGGCAGAGGCAGCAGCCCTGCCAGGAGGAGCGTGGACGTCCCAGACGACTCGGGAAGACCACGGCCATGCTGCTGGCCCTCACCTCTGTCTTCTCAGTCCTGTGGGCCCCCAGGACCGTTGTGGTCATCTACCACCTGTATGTGTCCTCAGTCCACAGAGACTGGCGTGTCCACCTGGCCTATGACCTGTCCAACATGCTGGCCATGCTCAACACTGCCGTTAACTTCTTTCTGTACTGCTTTGTGAGCAGGCCATTCCGCAGCGCTGTGCGGGACATCCTGCTGCTCCGAGGGGGGCCTCTGGACCCTCACAGGGCTCTGCCCCAACAACAGGCTCCGACCAACGCCTCCATCTCCTCGCTGTGCAGTGGGAACAACAAACGCTCGCAGCGAGACTCAATCCCTCTGTCACCTCACAGAACAAGAAAGCCTTCATGACCTCATGATCACCTCCTCCATTAATCTAAAACACCCGCCGTCCCACGGTCCTGGTGCACTTTGGACCTTGGGGACTAAACCCTGCGTTCCAGGCACGACCGTGGACGGCAGCCAGTCGGCCTGCATCGGTCTCACAGGAACCCAACTCATGGTTTTTGTCTTCTGTGACCTAGACCTGTTTGTCCGCTAAATCAAACAAGACCACTAACTATTTATTTTTCCAACAAACTATTTGACCAAATGTAGGGCGATATTTTTCCTTCTCCATTGATGGTGGTTATGTGAAAACTGTTTTATTGTTCCCTTGGAAGAAAACAGCTTTTATCAGATTTACTCTGACCTCAGAGTTCAGCAGGACTTTAAATGATTTGTTTGCTTGATACTAGATGTGATGAAGCAATCTATCCAATAAATAAAAGAAAAACAATTTCAGTTGGTTGTTTTTTAAGTATCTGTGGCTGATTGAAGCCACTGAAATGGGGAAATTGTCCTCTGCAGCTCGATCTGTGGAACAAATCCCAAAGAGAAGACTCTGTTCTTCAAACAGCCACCCTGCTGCAACTCCAAGCAGCAGGACTTTAGCTCCAACTGAACAAACTGCACATCAGCCGGATGGTGCACGCTCTCACGCATGCATGAATGTGTACAGTCAGCTGGTACATTTCTATTTACACTGAACACTGAATCAGTGAAGCTTCATGAAAACTGCATCAGTTCAATTCAAACTACCAGACAATGACTGAAAACCGTGACTGTAATGCCACATCTGTATCCTGTAACAAGTGGAAATGATTTGTTTTTACTGCAGAGCTTGAGCTCTGCTCAGTCAATAAAAGTTGAACTTTTTTAATTCCTTGAAAGTTGGTTATTTTAAACCTCATTAAACCAGACTTTCACAATCCTTACAAAATATGAACAACAATTAATGACCTTTTGATGTATCCGAGAATGTTGGGACTTTTCACATTCTTTAAACGTGTTTCGTTTTTTCATAATTCTTCATTTATAATCAGTTTTGCTCTACATTATCTGATGCAGTCCACTTTTTTTGCTGTCATGGTTCCTCCTTGGGTTTACAGCAACAGAAAAACACATTCACTCAGCTCATAAGGCCCAGTGTCGGCCCCAGTTGGGTTCTGAGATCTGCCGCGTGCTGCCTGACAGTAACAGAGAACAAATTTATCAGAGCAAAGGAAGTGAAAGAAAGAATAAAACACCTACAAACATAATGAGGTTATGATCTAATGGAGCAAAGCTGATGCTGCTGATGGTGGTATTGATGGTGGTGTCAGCCAGGTCAGGTCAGCGGGTAACCCCCCCCCCCCCCCCCACACACACACACACACACACAGCAGCAGCACGTTCGCATATCTGCCTGCCACCTGTCCTTTGTGCCTGTTCAAACATCTCCTGTTGCTCAGCAGGTGTCAGAAGGCATCACCTGAAACCAGTAAACACCTCAGTGACAGATGCAGAGAAACAGGAAGCTCAGTCTGATGGACAGTCAGAGGAAACTCAGCTTAAACCGGTTATATCCTGAAAATCATCCACAGAAGCTGAAAGCTCATATATGTTTGTAAGTTAAATAATACACCACCCGGCCAAAAAAAAAAGTCACCACATGGCTTTAACTAGGTAAATAGGTACGAGTCTCCTATTGGATAATTACTGCATGGGTGATTATCTTTCAGCTGGCAACAAGTTTTTTAACCCCAACTGGTGCAATGAGTTGCTTCTCATTTCTTAAACAACATGTGGAAAGATGCATCTGGTGGTCGTGGAAAAGATGTGTTTGAGAAGGGTCAGATCATTGGCATGCGTCAAGCAGGAAACATCTGAAGAGACTGTAGAAATGACTAAAACTGGCTTAAGAACTGTCCAGCGCATTAATAAAGACTGGCCTGATGAGTCCAGAAAATCTCAAAACCTGGCAACATGAAAATTAACAGAAGACAAAACAGACATAAAAAGAAAAAAAAACATCAAAACAATGATGAATATTTACTCATGGAGGATAAACCAACACAGTTGATGTAATCAGTCATTTTTATTTACAGAGCACCTTCACATGACCCAAGGGCCAAACAGAGCGGCACAATAAAAAGTGACACAAAATGACAAAAAGTAAAAACATTTAAAAACACTTTAAAAGCAATTACAGTTTTTCTCGACTGCTTAAAGAGCAAGTCACCCCCAAATAAACTTTTTTTTGCTGATAAACGAAATAAACGAGTGTCTAATCGTGCTGCAGACACGTGTCGTCAATAATTTGGCACTTCAGTGCATCTTAGTTAAAATTTAAATATTCTGCCTAAAACTGGCAGTGTTGTGCCGTTGTCAGGTAAAAACTCTGCACTGCATTTTAATTTAAATCTGCCACCGCTATTGGCTAAGAGGTATGCTATGATGTAAACTGGTACATTATGATGTCACAATGCTGTCGTGAGCCTGAGTGTGTGTGTATTTGTTAGCGGCTCCGCCCTCTCGGTCTGCCAGGCAACAGCATGTGTTGCATTTTTCAAACATGAAGCGGGAGTGGAGTTAGACTCTGGTAGGGGGTGACTTGCTCTTTAAACACATTTCTAGAAACTATGCCTCGTATTCCCTTAATAGTAAACACAAATCCATAATGCCTCAACTTTCCAAACATCGTATTTTCAGATCAAATGAAGCTCTACACTCAATACCGTTCACTCTTCCTGAAAAGCCGAACTTTGCCCACAGACATCACACACAGGACTCAAAAAGACACACTACAACATGGTCTTACACATTGGTGCAAAAAAGTTTAAAATAATATTTGCAAAATTGGCAAGTTATGCTGCTTGTGGTTCTTCCCCACAAAAACCTTTTCACACAACACAAAAGATGCAACCGATGTATATACAGTGGCATATGTTTGTATACAGTACAGCACACACCACAAAGAAGCCAGTGTAGGGATGCTAAAACAGACAACTAAAACCAGATGTGAAGGGAGGTCACAAAGCAAAACTACAGTCATAGTGGAATAAATATGAAGAACTGAGTTATAAGAAGAAAAATGAACTAGATGACAACTCATTTAACGGTAGATGAACATCTACCGAAGACAAATTCCTTGTAAATGTACTTTTACTTGGCCAATAAATCTGAAATCTGAATCTGAATCTGAAATCTCTGTCATGGTCTGAGGCATTTCCCCTCACTAATCTCTACCAAGTCATCACTCCTGCAGGTGCACGTTTCCGGGGAGCAGCTCAGCTGCACCTGGCGATATGAGGAGCAGTCTGCGACCTACACAGCGTCAGATGATTTACTCTGTTTGGGTATTTTACCAAGTCTCGAGCTTTAGTAAAAGACTTCTTGTGCTTGTTTTTGTCCCATGCCTCTTGTGACTGCTATTCTTGTGCTGCAGATATTACTCCACATCATCTCTCCAGCAGGGGTGGACTGGGACCAACATGTGGCCCTGGCATTTTTATGAACTGTCGGCCCTCAGAGTGGGGGGGTGGCGTGGCGACACGTTGAATGTTAGAGTGCATGTGGGGGGTGTTTGGTTTGTGATGGCCCATGCCGGACATGTGGCCCCTTTGGCTATGCGGCCCACCGGGACAGTGCCAGAATGCTAGATGGGGCAGTCCACCCTTGCTCTCTCCAGTCATAACTCACAAATCTCTATTCCACATTGTCTCCACCTGCTCTGCCAGCAACCCCCCCCCCCCCCCCCCCCCGCCTGCCTCGCTTCACGGTTTGGATTTGTCGTCACCATCATCTCTCATCATCGACGATTGGATCCCCTTTCGAGCACCTCTCTACAGGTCCTTCTCAAAAAATTAGCATATTGTGATAAAGTTCATTATTCTCTGTAAAGTACTGATAAATATTAGACTTTCATATGTATTAGATTCACTGCACACAACTGAAGTAGTTCAAGCCTTTTATTGTTTCTAATATTGATTGTAACGTGATGAAGGGACCGCTTCTCCCCTCTAACAGCTGTCCTTGTGACACAGCGCCAGTGTGCATGAACAGCCGAGGTCATGCATTCACTTCTAATGTTTACATTCCAGCAAGAAGACAGAAGAAGGAAGAAGAACGCTTTCCTTTTAATTAATCAAAGAACTCTATTTTAATAAAGCTAATCAAAACAACTGTTAGTCAATAATAACCATGTGACCGATCTGTGAAATCACAATGTTATGATTAATATGCTTAATGAGTAATATGATTTTGGTCTAACTGCACTAGACATCCTGATCCGCGTAATGTCAACACATGACACGTTGTTTACTCGTCCAATCAGAACCTTCATTCTGAAGCGTGGCAGAGTTTCTCTGGTGTTTATTTAATCTGTCCACTGCGATTCGTCAAGAATCTTAAACAACCAAGATTAATAAAACAGAACAACGCCATTTTGTGTTCGGTATTCAGCCAACTCTCGAGATCATCTGATGTCCATCATTGCTAAGTGAAGTACGGACTGGCCATCTGCGCGTTTTACTTTTAAGCTGAGAACTGTCAAGCTGGAAAATCCTGTCGTTGTTACCAACAAAACAACGGTTCCTTCAGAATAAAAGCTGAACTCGCTGACCCAAAGGGGAGTCCCTTTGACGCTGTGAAACACCTGCCGTTTTTACCTGGAGACCATCCATAGACTGGTTTGTCATGCTGTCGACGCTGTTTCATCTGTTCCAGCACCAGAGGAGGGTCCGAGGACCTGGCAGCCTGATCTAACACGAGAGTCCCTGACGGGTAATGTAGAACGGCACAGATAGCGTCTCATGTCTGTCCTGACTAAAGTTCAAACGTCGATCAGTTAGGAGCAAAACAACATCTCCCACTCAGACTCGCTTCTCCAGACGGAGGTTCTGAACTGACATCGCACCAACACACACACTCTACCTCATTACATTCCATTTGCATCCATCACTAGAGAGTTATTTCTGTTAATTGTTTAAAATAATTTAGATAATAAATTTTTCTTAAACGTTCCGAGGTCTCTCTCTCTCTCTTCTCTCTCAGTTCATACAAAGTGTTGAATTTAAATTTCCCTGTAATAAGAAAAACACTCTTCTGATTTAAGAAAAGCCCAGTGTCCAGAGATGGGACCCATACTAGGTATGGATCATTAATATCTCTGGTCATTAATTAAATTGTAATACCCTTCCTTTCCATTACTTGATGGTTTTGGTATACAGCTCATGAAAACCCAAAGTTCCTATCTCAAAAAATTTGCATATTTCATCCGACCAATGAAAGAAAAGTGGTTTTAATACAAAAAAGGTCAACCTTCAAATAATTATGTTCAGTTATGCACTCAATACTCGGTCGGGAATCCTTTTGCAGAACTGACTGCTTCAATGCGGCGTGGCATGGAGGCAATCAGCCTGTGGCACTGCTGAGGTGTTATGGAGGCCCAGGATGCTTCAATAGCGGCCTTAAGCTCCAGAGTGTTGGGTCTTGCGTCTCTCAACTACTGTTTTCAGTACATTACAGAAAATAATTAACTTTATCACAATATGCTAATTTTTTGAAAAGGAGCTGTACGTCAGGCCAGACCAACTCCCTCGTCAGCGCCTACACTTCCCCGTTGTCTGGTAAGACTGTTCCAGCCTGCACTACTTACATTCCCTTCTGCCTTCTCCTCACCCTCCTGTGTTCTCCCGCTAGATTCAGACCCTGCACGTCAGAGCTTCCTCAAGAGCACTCCACTCCTCATCGCTTTATTTAATAAACATTATTTTGCTCTTACCTTGTCTCCCGGCTCCGATTTTGCATGTGGGTTAGAAAATTAAACGCCAACATGACAAACTCATGGAAAACAATAAAAAATGTTTTATTAAAATTTAATTCTTAATATCTAACATCCCCGAAACTGAACTTGTCTGAGAAAAGTGTTTTATAGCAGAGCTTCACTTATCACTTTCAGTTTTATTTTTCACAATGAAAACACAACAGGATTTATCTTCTGCAGAATAGAGACACGTGTAAAAAGTCAGGTTTATGTAACACGGTGGAGACTTAAAGCACACAGGTTGTTTGTGATGGTTGGTTGTGTTTGATTAATGAGTTGAATGTCGTTTCCAGGAAGGTGGACCTCATTCTACTGGAAGGTGCTCACTTGGAACCAGTCCTTGCATTTGGGGCAAAAGCACAGCTCTGCGAGAGAGCTTGTTTAAATAAAGTCTAACATTTAAATCCCCAAAAGTCATTAAATTTTAAATAAAATACAGGGTAAATTAAAAGAAAAAAATGTAGAACA